CCTCTCAGACTCTCTCTGTCTAACCTACATTCTGGCCCTCTCTCTCTGTCTAACCCACACACTGACCCTCTCAGCCTCTCTCTCTCTCTAACCCACACTCTGATCCTCTCTCTCTGTCTAACCTACACTCTGAGCCTCTCTTCTGTCTCTCTCTAACCCACACTCTGACACTCTCAGTCTCTCTCTCTCTGTCTAACCCACAATCTGACACTCTCTGTCTCAACCACACTCTGACCCTGTCTCTCTCTCTCTCTCTCTCTGTCTAACACACACTCTGACCCTCTCTGTCTAACCCAAAATCTGACCCTCTGTCTCACCCACACTCTGACCCTCTCTGTCTCTCTCTCTCTGTCTAACCCACATTCTGACCCTCTCTCTCTCTCTCTAACACACACTCTGACCCTCTCTGTCTCTCTCTCTGTCTAACCCACATTCTGACCTTCTCAGTCTCTCTCTCTCTCTCTCTGTCTAACCCAAAATCTGACTCTCTCTGTCTCTCTCACACTCTGACCCTCTCTGTCTCTCTCTCTCTCTCTGTCTAACCCACACTCTGATCCTCTCTCTCTGTCTAACCCACACTCTGACCCTCTCTCTCCGTCTAACCCACACTCTGACCCTCTCTCTCTGTCTAACCCACACTCTGAGCCCCTCCTCCCGATGGTGAACACAGGCCTTACCTTCTCGAGCTGCAGTCACCTCCTTGGTCAGACGTGCGATGACCCTGCAGGCAGCATCGTGCTGGTAAAGGGCATGAGATAACTCCTGGCGTGTGGTCTGCAGCTGTTGCCGGAGTGTGAAGCTGTGCAACATCACTGCGTCCTACAGACAGACAACACAGGAAACACATTGCTCAGGACCATTCTGCTGGGAGCACACCCCGATGGGCAATGGGTGTAGGGGCACCACCAGAGAGGGGCAGAGACAGAAAGATATACATAAATAAATATACACAGGGATAAAGTATCCTCTCGGGTATCTGTGATTCTTTATCAGACCATGTGAACCCCTCGATTAGATTCCAGTCTGTAACTCACTCCCAGGTATCTGTTATTCTATATATAACCCACCCTGAACCCCTCGATTAGATTCCAGTCTGTAACTCACTCCCGTGTATCTGTTATTCTATATATAAACACCCTGAAAACCTCGATTAGATTCCAGTCTGTAATCACTCCCAGGTATCTGTCATTCTGTGGATAAACCACCCCGAACTCCTCGATTATATTCCAGTCTGTAAATCCCTCCCGGGTATCTGTTATTCTGTATATAACCCACCCTGAACCCCCTTGATTA